AAATTGTGACTTGATAAGCACTGATTTGAATTTTCGTTGTTTTTTTTTCATTATAGTTATGCATGGCTTGAGCATGTAAACCATTTTTTTTTTATTACGCAGTCCTGTATTTCTGTTGCTATGTAGTTATTTTCATACGAGTTATACTTTCTGTATATGCCTGTAAGCTATGCTATAAAGATGTCTGACTGTGTGAAAACATGCTGTTTTGCAGGTTCGGTGAATTGAATGGTGTTTCTAGTGTAGATTTCCTCATACTCCTTGGTCAGTATTTCGGTATCGATTTCCTCATACTCCTTGGTCAGTATTTCGTTACAGTCTCTATATGCTTTTTATCTTAACAATGTTCATTTTTTTTTTTTTTTTAAGTCGGGCTTTCAAAGGGCTTATGAGCTACCGTTTCTATGATTTGTTTTTTTATTGTAGCCGTTTTGGATTGGATTTTGATAAGTGTGCGTATAAATCAAATTCAAGTCAGCTATCTTTTTCAATTATGTATCTATTACCGTATATTCCTATAATGATCTTTTTATAAACACGGGCCAAGTTTGTGTTACACGCAAACAAAACTGAAATAAAATTATTACTTAAGATTTAAAATCGAAAACACGGATTAATATTTAGTATCGAAAGGCTCTTAACCCAGAACAAAGTTTAAACAATGACCAACACACCAATTAGTGAAAGCCAAGGCGGTATAATCTTGACTCCATGGGGAAACGCTTACAAATCTTTTTCTTAAGTAGGGATTTTTACTTTTAGTCCGAATATCGCATGATTTAATCTGACCCAAATTGAATTTCAAATCAACAAATAGAATAAAACCTGAAAATATAAACATAGATAATTGGATAAGATATATGACTTTTTAAAAGTTTGTTGGGTGTTTTTTATTTACTGTTGTGGACGCATAGTTATGTCAATTCCGTGTTCAAAATAGTCAGTCGCAAAAAGATAAACACTAGCAACTTACGTCAGATCAAGACTTGTATTTTATAATATACGATCGGTTGCTACGAGAATCAGTTGTCCAACCTGAATTTTTGGTGAAAAACTTGTTGAGGAATATTTTGAAAATTAGTAATGATATTGAGTTTAGTTATTTATTACATACTGGAATAAGCATATTCTGGGTACACATGCACTTAGTGCGACCCTCATATTAATGAAACATGCTGACCAGTACATATATAAGGCAGAACAACGAATTTTCACCGCTTCGGTATGAAGTATATTTAGTAGATGGCTTTTAGTTATTTGTGTCGTTTGGTTGCTGTCTCATTTACCTATACCCTTAATTCACATTTATTAAAATAGATGTAGATACCTTCCAAAAAGTTAAATTATTGGATTTATCTAAATGTATCGGAGCTGAACTTACAATAATATTCCTAGAATTCTCATTTATTGTGTGTTACTTTGGAATTTTGATTCCACTGTAAAATATCAGAAAACTCAGTCACATTTTAGAGGACTTGAACTTGTATGGTAAATTTTGGACAATAAGACCAAAGTGAGATTATTTACAAAACATTTACATAGTAATATTACTTGTTTGTTTGTGTATTTGAATTAAAAGAAAATATAAATCTAACAGATTATTTAGATGCTTATTCTGTAGTATTTAACTTCGTATGCTTGTGGATTGTTATTGTTCGTTTGTAATATCCACAACCCCCTAAAGAGAGTGATTAGAAATTGTAATGTATGTGTCTGTTCGTCTGTAGGTCTATATAGATATTTGAAGGTATACGTACCAATAAAGTTACACTACAAATGTATATGTCCCTTCAGGTTGCAGTGCTATGTGTACTTATAGTTATCCTCCAATACAGAAATAATTAGAGGGGGGGGGGGGGGGTTAAAATAACACACTAAATCGTACGATTTTAACTGAAAACAAATGGATATTTTTAACAACAATTATTTACTAAGCATTCTAAAGTAGAGAACATTAAAGGTTATCATCTTTTGATTTAAACATTCGCTCCGGTACAGTATGAATAATGTTTGGTCCTCGTGCTGAAGAATGGCGACCAGATCAAATTTCAAAGGCCAAAATATGACAACGGCAAATCTTTAGATGATGAATACTAAGTCTATCTCCTCATGTGGTGTCATGCTCCGTCAATATCAATTTCTCTCTAATGTAAGTGTCTTTGCTCTTATATTTACATTTTTTGTAATATTTATCCGGCATTTTTCAATAATTATGGTATTAATCAATATTTAATGGTTAAAGTGAAATTTAAATACATGTAATTTTGATAGATATTGTCCAGAATGATAAAATGGGCCGTCATATTCCGGTGATTAGGACATAACTTAACCTTATGAATATTAACCTTGAATGTTGAAATTGTTAGTCTAGTTTTATACATATTCGTTTCTTTGGAAGTTCGTAGTGCTTTAAATTCAGACGAAACGTGCGTGCAATTGGCGAAAAACAAGAAGAAAATTAACCAGTGAAAAGTTGTTATAACTGAGATAATCGAATGTCCTTTGGATATTTTAAACTTTTGCTGGAATAGCCATTACAAGAACATAAGAAAAGATATTATTTGTTTGAAAAAGACACATCAAAGCATCTTAATCACACTTTGGTAATTATATAACATACTGAAGCTGAGGTACTAAGCATGCAATGTAACTCATACTGAAGCTAAAGTACTAAGCATGCAATGTAATTGGCTTTTAACCAATTTGTGATGACGACCGTAGAACTAGAACTTTTCCTCTTAACCTTGTTAGGGCAGTATTTCAGTTGAGACTTCTTTCTTATTCAGTGTGAAATAGTCAGTATGATACAACATTATGTCACCCCGAAGATCTACACTGATGATGTATTTTTTTGTGGTAGAGGTGAGCAGCTGAGATATTGAGCACCCCACCCTCTTCATATAATTTGAATAACAAAACTACATACACTTTCATACTTTTTATATACCTATACAGCTATCATGCTTACGCATTTTCATGGAAAGATTAAAAATATAAATTTGACAAATATCTCATGCGATTCAATTGCGTCTGTGAAAAAAAAATCGACATCTGATTAGTTTCAGATACTTTTAAATCAATCAGCAACCCTGTCATATATTTCATCTTAATTTCTCGTCCTAATCATATATCACGAAGCTGGAAATGATAACATATTCAAGTCAAATCTTTAAAATCCTAATGAATAAATTGAATCATACATTTTTAAAGATGATTTCAATGAATGATTTGATTTGATTTTGATTTTTGTTGTTTTAACGCTACTTTTAAGCACCGCTTTTGGGCTATTTCGTGGCGGCCAGTTTTTATTGGTGGAGGAAGCCGGAGTGCCCGGAGAAAACCACCGACCTTCGATAGGAAAACTGACAATCCTAGTCAATTAAGATTGGAGTCGAGCGGGGTTCGAACTCACAACCTCAGTGTTGACTGGCTAGTGATTACAGTAGTAACTACTTAGACCACCGTGGCCCCATTTCAATGAATGGACAGGGTCATATAAGAAGTGAATGTGACAAGGATTTTTAGATTTTGCACAAAATTACCATGCAGTTGTTGACCTTGGGGGTCCCTCAATTCTGTATTGTTTATGGTAAGGTTAATTTAAAGGGAATCACTTATGTTTTCCTTGATTTTTAAAGCCATAATTTCTATTCTTTACAGTTTAGCACCCCATCATTCTATATTATTCATTTTCTTGGCTTATTTTTCTCTATCCTTTATTTTTTTGCCCACTATTCTGCACTTTTTGTCTATTAATCTGTAAACCCCATCCAGACCCTCATAAATGGCACAGGGTTTGTTTGTCAAGTTAAAAAAGTTAACAAGCTATTATCTTAAAACTTGCTAAACAATTGTTCATGTTCATATATGAAGATTTCAAATTAAGAAGTAATTTGATTTTCCTTATTTTTCACAATTTGACGAAGTTGAAAAAGCGAGACTTCGGCCTGTTGTTTCAAACAGGGTAGCTTCAACAGTGAATTAGTTTGTGATAAGGTCAATTTATGAAGAACCACCAGTGGTAGGTCAATGATATATGGGATGCCGTTGTATTTGCATTGGCATATTTCATTTCAATGTAGATTATTTGGCCCCACACCCTCAGTCATGGTCTATTGACTTTGAAACTTTCGCTTAGTTTACATGTACAAATTTGTGATTAAGTCACTTTAAGGGGAACCATTAGTGATAGGTCAATGATATTTGGTATGCAGATGTGTTAGCATTGGCACATCTCATTTCCATGGGGATTATTTGGCTCTGTCACCTCAGTCATGGTCTTTTGACTTTGAAACTTTTGCCTACTTAACATGTATTTGGTATTTGGTATGCAGTTTTAAAATCATTAGTATTTCTCATTTCCATGGAGGTTATTTGGTCCTGCACCTTCAGTCATGGTTCTTTGGTTTTGAACCTTTTGTATAGTTAACATGTTTAAATATTGTCATTTTAATTTCAGCATTTGCATCATATGATCAAAATAACCTAAAGGGGAGCCATAACTCTGCCAACAATTTATTTCATGAGTTGTTGAACAATTTTCCATTAAGGGTATATGTTTTTTAAGAATGAATACACACTATAACATCATATATCTTTTCTTGATGGGCATTAATGTATTTAACAGTCATAGAGTTATTATGTATAACTGAAAAAATCTTATGTATTTTTTTTTAATTTTGTATCCAAGTGCTGTGTAAGGGGCATACTTAAGTCTGGTTTTTCCTTTAACAGGTATGACATGGTCACCTTCATTAGCTCACACATTTAATTGTCTAAAATTTGTGAAATTGACCATCTAGATAACTTTTGGTTATTTGTGTCATTGGGTTGCTGTCACATTGATGTATACACACATTTCCTTTTATTCAAATTTTGATCAAATGCAAAATGTGGGAACAGGAACATATATTATCAGATTTAGTGAACACTGTATGAAACAGAATGCCATTTTCTTCATGACCAATAACTCATTGACAAGCATTTGTAAAAAAATCAAATTCTATAGGGTATATAAAATATTTATTCATTAACAATATCAATAACATTCTTTTTAAATGCAACAGTAAAAGCAAGGTATCAAAAATAATAACAACTTTTAGCTTAGTACAACTTGACTGTACAATATGTCTGTATATGCTGTATGTCTCACTTTGATGAAAATATCCTCATTTATTGCCTATTGATTGGTCATATTCTTTATTTTTAAGATCATTTAGAAAAGCAAAAGAGTAGCAGTAATTTCTAAGGTAATTAGAAATAGGTTTTATAGAAATATATACAGTAACACAGGTTTTTTTTAAAGGGAGATACTCAAAACAATCTGAGATGCATTTGAACATTCATAAGAATTTAATTAGTGCATAAACAAATTCATTTTAAATATATTTATAAATATATATATAATGCCTCATTGTCCTGTAAATGATGGGCTATGTTACAACCACCCATCCCCAAAAAGGAAAATAAAAATGACCTTTGACTGCAACATTTATTCGATTATCTACCTTGTTTGAATATGAATATTGGACCCAAAATGGTTAAAATCTTTCTTGGTTGCAATGATTGTCAGACATGCCGATTCATGTATACCGAGAAAAAAGTACTTTATTTGTAGACTTAATAGCAATTACATTTCATCTTTTTTGTACTTTTTTTTAAAAGATTGTATTGAAAAAAAAACTACCCAAATTATTAGGTCTAAATTTCAAACAGTTTTTTATATTCTATTTTCCAGACATGAGGAATTAGCTTTTCAGGAAGCTCAAGTTTAAGCCAAATACATTTACCATTTCTTTCAATGAAATGATAATTTGATACATAACAACAAAATAATATATGAAATTACTATAACTTCATAGCAATTAATATATATAATACTTCAGTCTTCATATATATAAAATAACAGCACTTTATAAAATTATTTTTGAACAGTTAAGTCAATTTGCGAAATGAGTATAAAAATGACTAGAGGAGCACCACAATGTCCAATCAAAATCATCCATTAAACAATCACATCTTGGATTTTATCAAACTTCACTTCTGTAGGAAAATCGTCAGCGTCAATTGTGTAGCTTCCAGATGTGGTTGTATTATCATCATCATCATAACCCGTGTTTACACTGTCCATCGTTTCATCTAAATATGGTCGCTGATGCAATCCCTTTTGAAAATGTCCGTATGAAATGTGATCTCTTCCTGTGTATGGGATATGACGATTTTGATGATGTGGATTAATGTTTTCATAAAATGGATGATTCGGTGGATCTCGTGGACTACTGATGTTTGTCTGTTTATGTGGGTTCGATGGCCCCAGTTTATTTAGAGTGTATGAAATATGAGATGGATTTGATATATTTTGTTTGTGAGGAGGAGTTCCTCTCCTGCCTTGCTGGCCTGTTTGGTTGAGTAAATATTTTCTGAAGTCTTCTGGAAAATAAAGAAAATATAACATGAACATTTATAAGTCTGAAGTTGAAAACCCTTATTGACAACTTTTACTCTAAAAATATTAATCATAAAATATTTTGTTAAATCTAATTTTTCACTTGCTTTGTATTTTCTTTTTCACTTTGTTGTATTTTTTCTTCCTCTTTACGTTGTTGTAATTTCTTCCTTTTTTTCATTGTTGTAATTTTCTTCCTTTTTTTCAGTTGTGATTTTTCTTCTTTTTTTCACTGTTGTAATTTTTTCCATTAAGTATGAATAACCACATTAAATGTGTCTTAAGTGGATAAAAACAGATTAGCAATGACATATCTCATCAAAGTGCAGTAAGATTTGGTTGCTTATGTTCTAAGCAAGACCATTTTGTCACACATCTTTATATTAAAAATTCTATCACTGTTAATTTTAATAAAAAGCTTCTTTTAAAAACACTTCTGTCTTTACCTGACTGGTGTGATTTAGACATATTATGATGGTCATCATCTAGGCTTCCCCGGCCACTATCACTAGGAATTGTCTCCCCTGATGTGTCACTATGATTATCTCCAGGTCTCCTGACTGGATGCTGAAATAGAAAAGAAATATTTTTATAAACTAGCTGACAGCCTGATATTCACAAAACTTCGAAATTGTTGACAAATTTGCTAAGAAATTCGAAATTGGTTTTAACTGTACATGTACAGTATAAAATATAACAACTCTGGAAAAATTGTTATGAGAGACCATAAATTAAAAGTCAGACTAAAGCTCAGATCTTTGAATTGCTGAAGTTTTTTTATCACATAGACAGATTTTTTTTTCAAATAACCTTTACCAGTAGTTTTTTTTTTTTTTTTTAAAGTATTTCAGATTTCACAGACAAATGACCATTTCATGAAACCAGTCATGAGCTGCTGGTTATGAAAAATCCATAAATATTTTATTTGTTGATGCTTGCATGAATATATGAATTAATTCTTATAAAACTGACCACATAAAATTATTAATGTGTAATTTATGAGAAAATGTAAAATATATGTTGTGCCCAAGAATAAATTCACCCAGATGTACATCAATTTATTCACAATTAATTGTCAATCTTTGAGATATGGCGGAAAAAATATTTTTCAACCTGTCAAATTTCTCACTGTTTAATGGATATTAGACTTTTTATATTCCACTAATATTCAATTTTCTTTCATTTTAGACCACTACTTTCGATATTATCTTCCCTATAAATAAGATTTATCAATTTTTTCCACACCATATAGTATCATTGTAAACATAGCCCTTTTGTTAACTGTTTATAAAGTTAAATCCAAAATATTTCCATAGATAAAAAAATCTTTTAGGTTCTAGGAAGTGACCGTCCATAACTCCGTTCTACAATCTTTCGTAAACAGTTTGATCAAAGTTTTGATTAGTACTGATAATCCTTAACTTGTCATTGTGTGCTGTTTTAATTGGCAATGGATTCAAACAATCAGTATTTATCCGTTTTTCCAGTTCAAAAATTATTTAAAGTTGTTTCCAAAATCAAACAATCCAATATCTTTACCTCTTAGACAAGTGTAAAACTGTTTATTCATGCCCGTATTTGCCACTTAACAAAATCACATGGCATGAAATTAATTCATGAAGATCTTTTGTTTCTGAATCAAATTTAAATCTTTATTATACTTTTTGTTTGTCTTTGTTGATACATTTTCAAATGTATTTAAGTTACATAAAATCTGTAACAGTTTCAAAATGAAGGCTTTATTTCTGTTTGAAAGAAAACTCATTTTACTCACACCTGCTTAAACTTGGATAATTTAATCTTAAAATAATAATATTCTATATTTGAATTGATAAATCAAGCATTATACTTATAAACATAACTTTCCAATGACCTTATAAAATCAGGTCATTACATTATCACACATTTATTCATCTAATCTTTGCCTATAGCTCCTATATTTTTTCCTACACAAAGAAAAAAACTAATTGAATTAGAAGTATTATTATCATAGAAGAAACATTTCTTTTTCTGTAATGACACACAGATAATGTGTAATTTTTTGTTTATCTAAATCATACAAAGGATATTCACTTTTTCAGAAACATTTCATATTCTATTTTTAAATCATTGACAATACCAAAATAATTGAATATTTCCTGAAATATTTTTGCAGACTATTTTAAAATTTAAATAATGCTTCAGAAAAGAATAAGAAAGAATGACCTAAAATTGATATGAACCCTACTGGCAATACCCATTGTCATGCTTCAATGTATCTTAACTAATTTTTTTCAACATAGAGATGGAAATTGAATATCTAATCTCCGAGTCTCTGAGTACAATGGATACTCTGCATATCCATTTGATCACAAAATTTCTAAATAAATGTCTTCACATGATATATGTCTAAAAAATTTAATATAAATCCAAATAAACTAATCTTCCTTTTATTCAAAATATATAGGTAAATTCATATTTCAAAAGAAATTTGGGTCTGAAGATTCCCCTGATAGCACATTATCATGTATTTATCCGCCCAAAAAATTCATTTCATGGAAAAATTGATCTGTTAGAATGTATTGTGATCGAAGCATAGTAAGGTTAAGTTAAGGGCATTTGAAAATAATGGTTATTTGATTTTCATTTCAATAAATTCTTTCGTAAAATACTGAACAGTTTAAAATATTGAAAGTGCAAATAATTCTGGAAAAAATACTGAAAGTCAAGGTATAATTGATATTAAATTCTTAAAAAAAGTCTATCTTTGGTTTTATAAACTAACAGCTATAAAAGATATAAAAGACTTCACTACCACTGCCCTTCAAGTTTTACCTAGATTGATACTTACAACTTTTGACATTGAGTTTGAAGTGTCTTGTAGAGCAGTTAAAATTACTACTTAGAATTTACAGGAATTTTTTTTTTTTCTCAAACAGAGGAAACATTTTTTAAATTGTTGTTTGAAGGATATTGTCCCAAACTCAATTCTCAATTGCATATGAGGAGAAGCACAGATTGGGGACTTTCATACACATGTATGGTCCATATACCCAAGTTCTGCTCCTAAAATAATTCTGTTTTGAAAAAGGTAAAATTTTACCTCTGGATGCTGATTGGTCCATGGTTTGTCATGTGATTGTGCAAACTGTTGGTGTAATCTGATGGAAGCAAGGCGTGTCAGTTCTGATTGTCTCACGTCACTGTTTGGAGAAATTGGTCTTGAATATCCCCCAATTTTGTCTCGGCTCTCATCATGGCTTATGTCTGCTACAGATTGAGGTCTCTACAAACAAAATAAAGAAATTGTTAATTTGGAATTTTTCTTTTGGGAAAATACAATGAATGCACACTCCTTCTTATGTCCTGGTTATACCAACCAGTTGGATGATTTAAACACACAAATTTCAATTTTCTGTGGCTTTAAAATCTCAGCACTCTCAAAACTTGATTTGATTACCGCATAAGCAAGACATGTGTAAATCAACTGTAGTAAACATTACTGAATGAAGCTGTTTCATTTGAGCAACTACGATATCATTACCTAATACATTATAACATAGGAATAAAAGGAGATGAGGTGTAAACATCAACTAGACAGCAGTCCTTCTATCAACAAAAAATGATGACATCTTATAGCTCTTTCTAAAATCTAATTTGAACTGATTAGGGCAAGAAAAATGGTGAAAACATCAATGGCATATATACTGTATTTCTGATTAATTTAGTTTTTGTAAGAATGCATTTCGACATATAAAAACTACTTTATTTTCACCTTTAGAATGAATTAAACATATACAATAGTGACAAAATATGTCAATAAAATGAAGTCACAAGAAAGTTGGTTAACACCTAATTGGTTTGTGTTGTAATTCTTATTAAATATAATTGGTTGTAGTATTTGTAAGGAAACTGCTAATTTGCTATAAATAAGAATTTCTATATTACATTTTAAAATAAACTTAGGAACTGATATCCCATCAAACTGCAATTACTCAACCCATTGTCGCCATATCAAATACAATAGAATGGAACGATTGAAGTAGAATGAGATTCTCAACAACCATCAGTTTTCCCCAAATACAATATAATTATATAATGTCCAATACATCAAAATGACAATTTTTCCTTTATTTTTCACAAGAATCGATATTTTCCATCAATTATCTACCTAATACACCTGAATATTAAATATGACTCAATATTCAGTGACTTGTAATCTAATCGTCTGCTGGCTGAATATATAACTAGGAGACAAACTAAGATTGTCTCTAAGGACAGAATTGCTATCTTCTACTGTAAATCGTGATTTCAGACTGTCAGATTATATTCCATTGCACATAACTGGAGATTAAGATAAACAATAAAATTTTACTCTATTTACAAGAGATCTAAATTGCAGTGCCCTTTTAAAAAATCATTATTTATTATTCAGAAATTTAAATAAATTAACTTATTTCTAAATATTAAGAAGAAATCAAATTTGACATGGCTGAATATTTATATACATGTACATTTATACAGGCAGTGCTTATTCAGATTAGAGAAATTCTAATCTTTGCTCCTTTCTGTTAAAAAGTGAATCATTAAAAATCCCAATTAAATGTATACAGACATCTTCATTTGAAAATTTAAATCACTAGACACAAACTTTTTTGATAATAGCCACAATTTAAAAATTTAAAGATTCTGTATTTCATCCAATTGAAATTAACAATACCAAATAATAGAGCGAGTAGGTTCATTAGCAAGGCCTTTACTAAAATGAAAAGAAAGAATTTAGTTACAATTTCAGATTTTAATCTAAGTGACACTGATCCCCCAGTATTAAGTTCCGTCGGCCCCAGATCACAGTGGCATGTTCATTTGGATCTGTTCGTTAAACAGCTATCCCTGCGGAGCTACACCCTATACCATAATGCTTTGTAATGAGACAAATATCCTTTAATAAAGTCTCACACAAACAAGCAATTATTCATGGCTTAATCCAGTATTATTCATACGATAGGCAAAACTGTGAAACTCAGTACAATTCAAATTACTTGTCCATTTCACAAAAGGGGATTAGGATAAAAATACAATAAGGACTTATGCATCGCTTTGAACAATGAGTGCAAAGAAATAAACTTGCTTATCAAATGTTTATTTGAACTTTTCATGAGTTTAATTTGTAAAATTAAATTCTTTTTCGCTGACAAAACTGATATATACCCCCATATTTGAATATAAAACGATAATATTGAGATAATATTGAGTACGATAATTGACCATCTGAAAAAGTTGTTATGGATTTTGAATTTATATTGTCAATGCAATGTACATTGGCCTTAAGCTTCTATTATTACTTAAGAAATCACAATTTAGGTTATGAAAAGAAAGAATTAAATAGGACAAAGATTCATGGATAAAAATAAAAGGAGATGTGGGATATACATAATTCAGACAGAAACCTAACAGTACAAATAACCAAACCATATATAAGATATTTGGACCTCTATCATGTCTAATAAAATGTTCTAGTCCTTGATCAAAGTCTACAGACCAAGTATGACCAAAGTGTACAGACCCAAGTATGATCAAAGTGTACAGACCCAAGTATGACCAAAGTGTACAGACCCAAGTATGATCAAAGTGTACAGACCCAAGTATGATCAAAGTGTACAGACCCAAGTATAATGACCAAAGTGTACAGACCCAAGTATGATCAAAGTGCACAGACCCAAGTATGATCAAAGTGTACAGACCCAAGTATGGCCAAAGTGTACAAACCCAAGTATGATCAAAGTGTACAGACCCAAGTATGACCAAAGTGTACAGACCCAAGAATGATCAAAGTGTACAGACCCAAGTATGACCAAAGTGTACAGACCCAAGTATGATCAAAGTGTACAGACCCAAGTATGATCAAAGTGTACAGACCAAGTATGACCAAAGTGTACAGACCCAAGTATGATCAAAGTGTACAGACCCAAGTATGATCAAAGTGTACAGACCCAAGTATAATGACCAAAGTGTACAGACCCAAGTATGATCAAAGTGTACAGACCCAAGTATGATCAAAGTGTACAGACCCAAGTATGGCCAAAGTGTACAAACCCAAGTATGATCAAAGTGTACAGACCCAAGTATGATCAAAGTGTACAGACCCAAGTACAATGTAGAATTGATTTAACAGAGTAGACTGAAATACTACTTTGGAGTTAACATTTAAGTTTCTGATGTTAACAATTAAACAAACTGATTTGAATTTATATTTTTTATCAAGTTTAATATTGAAAACATAATAATGTTTGAGGCATGGGAAAATATAAAATTAAGTGCATAATTTTTAACCTGAACAATAACAATTTACTGATAAAAGTGTAAATTAATAATAATTTTGAAATTTGATTTTGAAATGACATAATAAATAAATCAAAAGTTGTAACAGTTTCAAAAGCTCTGACATTAACACATTTATTTTCATATAGCTAGTATGAAAGATTTCAATTACCCTGCCATTCAAAAAGTTATCAAAAAATCTGCATATATTTCATTTTTTCATTATATTTCTATATTTAAAAATTCTTACAATTTGACATCTATAACAAAAGATAACAATGCTTCAAATTTTCAGCTAAATATTACAAACAAAAACTTATTGTGCAGCAAATTCTTATATGAAGTTTGGCTATTGTCACAATTTATTTTGTAAATGAACAAGTGACTCCATATCATAACCCTGTTTACGAGGACACTTTTTATCAGAGATGAAATCATGAAAGTTATCTTGAAATCAAATATTTTCACATAATTACTGTATTGAAACTTATACTTTTTAATTTCTGTCTCAAAATGTTTAAAAAGGTCTTCTCCTTCTAATCAGGTTAAAAGAATTTATACAGCAAAGGTAAAGATCTGTACAGAAAAAAATAATTTGTTGAGATTCAGAAGTTTACTGGCCTCTTTTTCTAATTATTTAAAGTTAAAACTTTTAATTTCTATAACCAAAAGTATAAATTATTTTCCTCAAATTTCAACTTTTACCTTATTTTTAGCGTTAAATTTATAAAGAACTAAAAGATGATTGGTTAAATGATAGGATAACAGTTTTAGAAAACTTTTCTTTTATGGACGTAAAATCAAATATATTGTATTCTTTTGTCCTTATATCCTTTGAGCATATTTATACAGTTTTAAACCTTTTTCAGTTATTATCTAGATTATCTTTATATGATATTTACGAGCAATTTCACTTTGACCCAGACTAAGACTCCAACCATAAAAATCAGCAAAACACTTCTGATGCCTCACGGTCATACACATTCTAGATGATATTTCTAAAAGCCATCTTAGATACAATTTAACTTTATCTTTTGTTTTTTTTCTGTGCATTAATTATCATAATTCATATCTAATGTAATTTTGACAGGTAGTAAAACATGCCACATGTATTTAGAGTACATTTTCCTAACCTTCTATTTATTTGCCCAATTATCAATTTAAAAGTATCATGAATTTGACAAAACACTTTTAGCTTCCAGTACAAAACATAAATTACTTGTTTTCAGGATTATCATCTTATGACAGTTATGAATATAAAACAAGGTAACTGTTTGTATAATGGTTCTCATTTTTTTCTTTCTGTCATCAAAAGTAAGAAATGATATCCTGTTTTTTTTATCATAATGACCACTTCACTTAAGCTACATTCCATCAAGAAAAAGGTTCCAAGTAGCAACACTTATTTTCTTATACTCCAAGTATGATGAAATGACACAATCATTATTAAGTTAGGTGCATGGTACAAAACTAAACTTAAATATCAGTAATGACAAAAGTCTTACTATCTATAGTGAACTATACTGTAAATTTAGAAATTATTGCAACCATTTCATTATTACAAACCACTTGACAACCACCAAAAATGCCAGAGAAATGAATGTGAATTTTACATGAACTGTTTACCTTCTACAAACAGCTATCCTTCACCCTTGTTTTTTGTGTTGCTAAATCTTGAGTTTTCTATGTTGTCTGTCTGTCTGTCTGTCTTTTTCTTTTTGGTCTGACATAGTTTTTTCCTTTAACTTATGGATTTTGATTGCCACTATATATACATTCATGTCTAACATAAAATAAGCAATACTTAATTCTTAAATGTGACCCCTGTTATGTTTTTAACAGGACATAAAAACACAGTTGTTTCTGAAACTGAAATTGGAGTCTTTGAGTCGGGAGTTGTCACAGATGTGACCGTTAATTAACTCTATCAATGTAAATAATCAAGTTATATATATCAATTAGTCAGAAATTGATTTCTATTCATCTATGCAATATACAAACTGCTGTTTGTGTGTCTCAGAACCTTGAAACGCTGAAGATGTTTGCACTGCGATAAATTAGTTTGACTTCGTGATTGAAAAAGTAAACATACTAAGTATGTTTTACAAAGAGAATTTGTTGAAGGATTTAAAGAAGTGATTTTGCAAAATAAATCTTTAATAGGGTGTCAAACGGTATGACATTTTCCATTGCTCTGCGGGAATGTTTACTAAAAGAAATGATCAATGCCTCCTACCAGTCACTTGCACAGCAACACCAAGTATCTTATATTTATAAGGAAGTAAACATTCATATTGATCTTTTGAAGTCACCTAATTCAAAATCTGACTTTTTATGAAGCATATTATTATTTGTACACAAAAAATTCTCTAGACTCAGTCCTGTATTAAAAATTAAACATATAATTTTGAAGACCTTATTATAAAATTTAGGAAGTTTTTGTAGCCAAAAAAACTAGCGAACAAATATACTCTGTTCATTTTAAGTTTGACATTTTCAAATGTAAACAATAATTCAAAATGCTTCTCCTCCCATAATTAGCAAATTTAAAAAGTAAAGAGTATGTTAACACAACAGTTGTGAATGCAAAATACATTATATTTTCAAACCTTATCTAAATGGTATCCCAAACTTTTGTTGTTATGAACATTTTTGTGTGTGAACACTTCTCTCTAACCTTTTACATATATATATATATATAAAATAGACTTTTTCACTTTTTTTGGTCTTTTGGTAATTGTTGTTTGTGCTGTATTTAGACCCCTCTACCAAGAAATTTGTTTTACATGCACACGTATAAAAATTGTGATTTTTATCCAACGCAATCATAGGTTTGAACGTTGTTTTCAATTTAGACTTTTATATATTTTTTCATTTGGGCTTGTATTATATTTTCCTTCAGGTTTATATGATCCGTTCATCCTATTTCGACTCTTTAAAATTCAAGAGTCTTTCCTAAATTGAGGTAAATTATATGGCCTTCCAATTACCGTTTCGATCCCTAACATCACTGAAGAGACATTAATTGTCGAAATCCAGATATGGTGTACAAATTTTTGCACCTCATGTTTGTGGTATACCATCTTTTCCACAAGTTTATTGTTTTCTGTTTGGTATTAAATTAATATTCAGATCCATTTTGTTAGATCTGGTGATCAATTTATTTGGCAATCGCCAATGGCAGTCAGCAGGGTTTAAGAACATCAGTTGTTCGACCTGTTAGTCAAATGCGTTTTGTTAAAATATAATATATATATATATATATATAACCATATTTCAAGGAACCCTATTTCAATTATTCAAATAAAGAAACAATTCAGGAAACCTTTAATTGGCTAAGAAAAAAACTGAAACCAAAACTGAAGTTATTTAAAACATCAAGATTCCCAAACCACTGACAAAGCAGAACAAAAATATTTGACTGAATAAATATTTGATGCTTGTAATACTCCTGAATCGGTGGTGTTTATGTTACAAAACCTCTCACATGTACGACAAGCTTCAAACCATTTTAAATTTGAAAAACACATCATGGAAACTAAAATGACTATATTCTGACATAAGCAATTATAAAAAATTTAAAACAAAACTCAAAACTAATTTAAATGTATGTGCAAACCACATTTGTTTCAAAGAATAGGAAATGAATGGGCCAGCTTTGTTCATGCTTCAGAAATTTAGATGCTGGCATTCAGATAGTTCAGGTTGTCAACCGACTTTGACAATATCATATCATGTCATTCCCACAACTATTTACTGAGTCGCCACATTGTAACAAATTGTTTGACTTAAAAAAAACAATGCAATATTTAATTTGTCATATATCAATCAATCAATTATTAAATGTTTACATATAAGTGCAGTATTACAATATCTGCACCACAGAAGGGTTATTAATCTGAATTTTCAACAACCCACATGTACTTTGGTGAACAGGACTAAACCAATGTTATTTTAGATTTTTTTAATACTTGTACCCATTAGCATTCATTTTATTTACAGCAAAATTGATTCAAGATTATATTTATGGAAATAATAAATTTATCTTATGATGGAAAGTATATGTCCAAATATGATGGCTGTATAGATACTGAACCTTAAAAGGAAGACTGACCATAAAAAATTAAATCAACATAGTAATTATCAGGGGTGGACAAAGTGAAACTAAAATTAATTTGGCCAGCTTAGAGTTGACCTATATTTCTGTTGAAAATGTGGCTGAATAGACCAGTAAAATCCTATAAGAATCAGCTGACCAATGTATTAAACATGTATATATAGTGAAGTCTTATGTCTTAAACACAGTTAATGCAAATATGGAACAGGAAATTCATTTTTTTGTTATTGATCATTTTAAATTACCAGCATTTTTCCAAGTTATTAGTAAATTACAGACATTCAAAGTTGAAACCATATTCTATGTTGGTAAACTGAACTTACAAGTTAAATTTAGTCACGAGACTTAAGTTGGTATGAGAGGAATCTAATTTTCCATACATATTATTAATGCTAATGTTATTTTTTGTTTGTATTTTTATCAGAAGCACACCTTAACATTTTTAACATTTTTTGTGATGGAAAATCCTTTTGTACCAAGAATTTGTCACAATTTTCTGTAACAGCTTGATATTCGTGTTCTTATACAAAGTAAATAAATTCTGGTCACTAATTCTTTGTAGTTAATTCATTTGACATACACATGCTATTTCTAATCCCTCTTAAGACATTTCTCTACTAATGAGGGATGCATACCAGAAAAGCTTACCCAGAAAATTAACCTGTTTCAAACACACAAGACACAAAAAATCAATGACAATGTTTAGAGAGACAACAATATGTCTCTTTGTGTATATAACTTAAGAGACTTAATTCCAGCACTAATTGGTGTTTTGCCTGGAGGGAAAAAATAAGCAAAAGAAAAATCTCTTTCTATCATCAAGTATGTTATTTTCTTGGTGTATGATATCAGGAGTTGTGTAAAGTGATTTGATATTGCTAACCTTGATACCTATTTAATATTCAGAACTTGTACTCCTTAATAAAAATATTTTTTATCCCTTGAGATAGAGAATAAAGCAGTCACCAAATCTGAGAAGAATTATATATCCTTGAACTGTAAATTAAACAAACACAGATTCAACTTTCCTTCTTCATTTTGTAAAAGGTTCTTTTTTTTAGCTTAAATAAGAGTTTTTACTTTAGGAAGATATCTTCTGTATATGAATTTGTGAAAAAACAATCTTTTAAAACAATAAGCCATGCCTTTTTTTCTAAATGTATGGACATAGATTTTTTCAACAACAGAGACAAAAGGGTCAAATTAGATAGACTGAATTAATCTCTTTATCATTTTGTATTTTCAAAGAGTTGTCTCCCATTTTTTAAAAGAAATTTTACCTGATATGTATTCTGACTGGCTACACTGTTGGCATCATGGGAAGGGTTATACTCTGTATGCTGACTGGATGATCTGTCACCTGGCAGACTATAGAGGGAGCCTTTGTCGGAAGAAGAAAACAAGTTCTTATTTTGATCGGGTACAACAGTCTCCTGGTACATTCGTTTTTGTTTATCCAATCTACGAATCACAAATATAGTAATGATAATTGTGGCTGCCAATACTATGGTTACGACAACAACAGTTATAGCAATGGCTATACTATAGTCCTGCTGCTCTTGTGCCATTGGTGAGGCTGAGGTAATATTCCGTAGTGACACAACAATGTATAATTTTCTTGTTGATGTTAAAGATGTTGGTAGTCCTTTGTCAGATACAGCAATCTCCAAGAAATATTTAAGATTCATGTTTAGAATGGTCATTCTCTGAACCACAACAACTTCACCTGTTGTACTGATAATATTGAAAATATCAGAGTCATTCCGTGATTTGATTGAAAAAAGCAAGTCGCTATTAGGTCCCAAATCTGGGTCAAATGCTTTGATTTTGGTTACAACAGAATTAACAGGTGACTGATATGAAACCAAAACTGTATCATTGGTAGCATTCGGATACATGATGATTGGGTGATAGTCGTTCTGATCGTCTACATCAACAATCACATTGACTGTACTTGTTCTTGGTGGATTACCATGATCAGATGCCACCACTGTGAAAGCATACCTATCCTGATCTTCCCTGTTTAAAAGTTTGGTTGTTTTTATAGTTCCATATGGCATCACTTGAAATGGTACTCCTTCAGAAGATTTGGCTAAAGAATAAGTTATAATTCCGTTCACATCATTGTCAGGGTCACTTGCATGCAATGAAGTTACGTTGAAATCTTTCAGATTTTCAAGGACACGAGCATGATAGACATCTTTGTCAAATTTGGGATCATTGTCATTCACATCATCTATGTTAACGATAACAGTGCATGTTGAACTCAGGGGTTGTTTCCCTTTATCGATGGCTAACACTCGAAATTTATATTGGTCAATTTTTTCTCGATCAAATGTGTTGTTGGCTCGAATAAGTCCTGTTGCACTGTCTATGGTGAAATCTTGACCTGAATCGGCATGTAGTCTGTATGCAACCTCAGCATTTACCCCAATATCTTGATCTGAAGCTGATACATGAAGTATAACATCATTGAAATTGTTATTTTCAGCAATGTTTGCAGTATAGGTTGTTTTCATGAAAACTGGTGGTTGATCATTTTCGTCAATAACTTGAACTACAAAGTTCTTGGAGCTGTTTAATGGTGGACTTCCAACATCACTACAGAATACAGAAACCAAATGTTCTGGTTTTGCTTCACGGTCAAGCGGTTGATGAACTATGACCTTGTACTCTTTCACTTCCATGCGCTGCAGTTGGAAGAAATTGTTTTGGATTTGACATGTGACTATTCCGTTTCGACCAGTATCACCATCGTCAACTTTTACATGGGCTACAACAGCTCCCATGTTTGCAAATTCTGACACCTCAGCCATGTCAGAGTCTGATAACAAATTAATGTTAATTGAAGGTGGGTTATTCCCAGAGTCCAAAATATTTACATGAACAAAAACTTGAGACACCGATGGCTGATCGCCATTATCAACAGCTTCTACAATCATTTTGTATGACTCGCTCGGTTCATATTGTAACTTTCGAATAATTTTGATGTCTCCAGTCTTAGAATTTATTGAGAAAGTTGAAAGAATATCTTGGTTTTGACTTGCACTAAATCTGTAACTAACTTCTCCATTTTTACCAGAATCAGAATCGGTTGCTGAAACAGTTACGATGGTTGAATTAATGACTACGTCTTCTGCCAAAGTTACATTGTACAAAGATTTACTGAATTTAGGAGATTCATCATTGACATCGTCCACAAGAAGATTTACATCCAAAGTGCCTATTTTTGCTGGGTTGCCACCATCTTTTGCCAAAATCTGAATTTTATAGCTGTCTTTTATTTCTCTGTCCAATGTTCTAATTAGTTTCAGCCATACAGTTGTAGTTTGTCCATCAAGGTTTTTGGTAAACTCAACATTAAATGGGGAACCGAGAGGTGAGATCTGGTAATCTATCACAGAAAAGTTAGTACTATCTTTGTCTATTGCACTGCTAATGGTAAACTTTGATCCAATAAGAGAAGCCTCAGAAACAGACAGATTTACACTTGATGATGGAAAATATGGTGTGTTATCGTTAATATCATTCAAATGAACAAAAATGTCAAAAGTTTCAAAAAATATTCCATATGTAGACTTGGCAGAAACTTGTAACGATAATACACATGAAGGGGAATATTCACAGATTGTTTCTCTGTCTAAATTAACCTTTGTTCGGATTTCACTTGTTGTTTCATTTATCTTGAATTTTGATGAATGTGGATGTCCCTGAGTTAGAAAACTATATTGTATAGTTTTAAAATCGTCAGAATTATTAACCAATTTTTCCAAGTTTGTGTCTGTTGCAACGTTCCCAAGAAATTTGTTTGAACCACTTTCTTCGTCTATGTAGTATACTAGTGACTGCAATGTTGGTAAAAACATGAAACCGATCATTAATATTTTCTCCATCTTCCTTGAAACTGTGTTGAGACTTGTTAAGTCTCTCAAGTGGTTCCAGACTTCTATTTTCTCATGATCTTTTTAATAGTCGATTATCAAATTTCCAATTTCTTCCAATCAAAACTTGTTATTACTTTAATTCAAATATTATTGCTGCCTTGCTTTCACTCTGAAAAATAGATGTAAAAATATTGACACATGGTATTAAAACACATTTAACCACTAACAGGAAACCCAGTAGTGTTTGACTGAGTAAAGTGTGTTGTAGTCTTATTTGTTTATCCATATGTAATTAATCCAATTCGAAGTAAAGAAAATATTATTCTTACATTACTGATACTTTTCACACTTAGACAGATTGTCAAACAAAGTCTGCCAACACATATTCAACACTTCATTTACAAAGTTTGTATAATTACACAACTTGGAACAATTCAATTTCAACTGTATTCTAATAGTTTTTTGCCTTCCTTAAGAATTTCAAGTTCTAGTAATTTTTCTACAGGTTTGAGCAATTGATACTTTTACACTATTATATATGACTAAAAATATATATTTTATTTTCATAATTTGAAAGTTATCTGTTGTGGGTGTCAAATTTTATGACAAATACATATATACCATCTTTATATACAGTAAAACAATATACTTCGTTTAAAGGACAAAACAATGCATTATATATATTTTATTTTATTTTTAAGATGAGTAATATTTTACCTAAAACCTTTATTTTTTGTAATTGTGACAGTCCTTTTTAATATCAGCATCTCTGACTTATGCATATAAATAAACTGAAACACATTTTCTATATATTAATCAAATGTACCCAGATCACCTATTATCTACAACATCTTCAAACTAATTTTTCAAAACATTATGTTCCACGCCATGTTATTCAATCTATTTTCTGTTCAACTAGGAGCAAATTAAACTATTATGTCTTTTTAGTTATCTTTAACTTATCATTAAATGTAACTTAAATTGTTCAACATGTGTGTCACGCAAGGTAGAAAAAAAACAATATAGGCTTAAAATATCATATAAATAACATTATATACTTCATTAATGAACTTAATATTCACTTACCAATTTAATTAACATGTATATATTCCTTTAAAATTGACTTTTGGTTTCAAAATATGCACAAAACACAATTTTATCATGAAAATATAAACGAAAAAATATGTCCTTGCTATCAGAATTAATTCACAACCTTTTCTGCTACTATTAACCACAAAGTCAGTACACATTGGTTCAAAACAAGTTAGCTCCTCCTACATAAAATTAACAACCAATCAGAAAAAAGAATTAAAAAAGAAGTGTGAAACAACTGTCAATCAAGATTAAGACTTTTCCCTAAGGTAAAATTCATCCAGGTAGATTTATAGCCTAGGTGCTAATGAAATCTACACCAAGGTAATGAATTAAAGAAATAAATTTGCTACCAAGGAATTTCACAGCTAGCATACAGAAGCTGTTAAAAGTTAACTAGACACATTAGCTTTTGAAAGGGTCTTCTTACTCAATTTAAGTATATGTCCTCAAAACAACCTGTGTCCAGATGTTGAAAGTTACAACATTATTACTCTATTACAAAATTTAACTCTGAAAGTCAATTATTGTGGGTTTCTGAAGTAAATAACTACACAATTCAACCAATTATCTTGTGCACGAAGTGAAAAATTAACGGATGTGACACCAAGTGCTTTTGCATTTAAAACCATAATCCTGAAATTACAAGTACTTTTATTTTTCCAACATTTTTACCTGAAAATAAAAGACCATATACATTTGTATATAAATTTCTATTTCTTTCTCTCAAAAAAGATATATAGAAAATAATCATCAACCAGTACTATTAAGTCCAAAATTTTCTAGATGGATTTATTCTCCTTTATATCAAGATTAAGATAAAATTGTGAAAAAATCCCCTAACTTTAATTTATCTTGAAGGAAGATAATAATAAAAGACAAGAAAACCATGAAAGTAAAACCATGCGAACAAATTTCCCCTTTGATTTCTTGAAATTTTAGCTCCACAAAAATAAACCACTGTAAGGTTTGTTATCATAAAAAAAACATATTTGTTGACTTCACTATCGCATGTTTATAATATAACTTAATATGATATCATTTCAATGTATGTATCTTTGAATCAAAATACTTAAACAAACAGGCCCACTCTAAAAAATAGGTTTGTTTTTCACATCTGTCCCTCTTTTTTCCCAAAGGATCAGTAGATAGACTATTTCTTTTTCTCTGTCATCTTACAACTATAACAACTGATTTTCTACTATTAAAACAATATGAAAATGAAATCCATAGAAATCATACATCTTGCTGCATTTCGATTCTTTCCATTTTGCTGCCTCACTATCTTAAATTTTTTTTTAACATGAATGACCACAAAAATGTTTTCAGTCAGAGAGATTATCGATAACAGTCTGTCGGTTGGGTGTGGGAAGCAACTTCTTTAAATTTTGGAATACAAGTATCATTTATTCTAACAAATTTTCACAATTTCTGGTGATTTCTAAAAAACAATTATTTAACTTGTTGCTCCCTTTCTGTTTACAGGAACTAATCCTCATTTTTCAGATCTTTTGAAGCATATAGAATTCAAGATTTTTAGTCTTTAGGACGCTGGTGAATTAACATTTTGCAAAACTGTATGGTTTATAGTAGGCAATAACAAATATATAGTAATTCATGGAATACTGAATTTTCACTCATTCAATTTTTTTAAATGGGAATGAACCTCTCCCTCTTTATGTCATTTGCTAATAAAACCTTGCAAAAGGATAAATAATCCCTTTTTGGATTCTATGTCTGGAATGATTTTCTGATGTCCTAAAAATTTTCTGTCCACAGTGGGCAGCCAAATCAGAAAATCAACACTGATATAGATAGAATCCAAGAGGTATTGAAGGATATTGTTTACATGTTGTACCATGCATATTTTGCGTTTCATTAAAACTTTATTTGAAGAAAAGGTATTTTTGAGATTGGAATGACGGAATCAAATCACACAAAGTCCTTAATATACTCTCCTATACATGTAAAAAGTACGAAGACAACAGATCATATTGTAAATAAAGAAAGATGTAAGAGAATAAATTGGTAGGTTGAACACATCAATAAACAATTTTATACAAAAAACCTGTTTTTAACAACAGCATAATTAATATCCATGAAGATATTAGCAAAATCTGACGATAAAATAGCAATAAAATATAACCACCATCTATTACTATGGTCCATGGACCATGAAATTAGACTATCCTCTATAATTAGGTTAGCTTAATACTAAAAAAGGAAATAATAATTCAGAAAATTACAGACTTTTTACAGTTTAAATAACATTAAAACACATAAATTTGTTAAATGAACTTTAAGTACCGCCACAATTACTTAAATTGATTTTTAAACCTTTTTTTTTGCATCATTGTTCACATATTAAATGCTTGGTTCAGTCTATGGGGGTACTATCAAATATTTACTGCTTATAAAATTTTCTTTTAATCAAAGGTATCAGATTGAAATTTAATTGAGACATAAGTTTGCATTTATACTGTTAAGTGTTTCATTATATCCAATTTTCCGCTTTAATTTGTTCACAACTATTCGTCTTATGCCTTTAAATCTGTGTAAAATTTTTCCTTGCTCCTTTATCATGGTAATGTGATCCAACATGCATCTTTAAGTTCACATCTTGTCTCTTTATAATGGACGAGCCGAATTTACCTGCACTGTGTAGCACCTGCGTTAGTCATTCAAGGTCAGCAAATCGCGACCCCCTCACAAAACTCCTATTGATACATCTTTAATAGTTCAATCTGACTTGATAAACCGTGAAATAGAACACAAAATGCAAATCTAAAGAAAATCACTTTAATCAGATTGAAGATAAGTATTTCTCTTTGTAAAATTTTACTCAACGTGACGGAATAACCTGTTAACAAACAATCCTATCTGACGGCAGTGTTACAAAGAACCATACTATTGTTGAAGATGTGTGTGGCTACATATAAAACTATACAAACTTTATTTAACTGTTTTCTGAGTTTAATACGTTTTAACAAGTGTTTTTCATGTGAAGGTGTCATTTTGTTTTTATTTTGCTGTCACCTGAGGTAAAGGTTATGAGCAATGTGTCCCTAAAGTCACACCTGAACATGTTAATAGGTCCAGTCACAAACAAAAATATATAACAAGCTGTTAAACTGATATATCTAACTTTTTTTTAACATTTCCATTCAATGCATTCCTCTAAATCGTAAGGAACAGGGATTTCTCCAAAAGTAGACTGAACCTTTGACGAATTTATCAATTATTCACAAAAAACTGTATAGCAAGGAAATGGAATTGTCTGCTGTTGGGATTTATTAGATATGTCCTGCAACGAAAATATCTTTAATTTAGATTAACTGAAACGATTACAATACTGAAACTGATTCTAGAATGAAACTAATGTTGAAATGAATTTCTCCAATTAAAATTTGGTAGAAAAGAATAAAAATCTTACATGGTCATGTATAAATAATACGTTGAAAGTACATTGGATTAATTCAGTATTAAAATAGAAAAAATTTCAAAAATTTAAACCGTGGATTGAAGTGTTAAGCTTAGTGGCCTAACTAATTCAATTATGCATAACTATTCTGCAATCCCATTTACATCATTCTGTATTCAGGATTTTTCTGCTGCATAATTATATAACTTATAAGGCACAAAACAGAACAATTCTCTGCCCAAGTCACAGTGGTGTAGTAACTCAAAATATCATTTTCTAAAATATTTCATAATACACATGTAGTCCAAAGAACACTGAGTTCAAATCCATGAATATCGTTTCAGATGTAATCCGAAACTTCAGTATCATTTTAGACCACATTTTTGTCCAAAATAATAATTTATTAAAATAAATTTATTAAAATAAATTATAAGCAAATCATTTTTAACTTTAATAAGTTTGTGTATAACACGGAAAACAACATTATTTATGACAAGATATTGAATATTTTTCATAAAATTTTAAGGATTGAACAAGATTTGGAGGTGCAAAACATCTATTCTAGTGACAGCTAAAGAATACGTCTTTTTACACAGTATCATGTGACTCTCGTGGTCCATTATGACTGTCTACACGGAATACAGGTTGACTGACGACCAGGGATCATAAGTTTCTATAGGTTTATTGTAATGAATTTTAATTATGAGCATCATATTAGATTACTTTTGTGATATAAACATGGTATCTCTTTTGAATATCATGTATCATTTAATCACTAGAGCTAAATTTGGAAAATGTGTTTTAGACGCCAGAAATTATGACAAAGATTAATAGATACATGTTTTAAATTGTATTATTTCATAATTTAAAAATTAAATTTGATCAATGTTTAATATGGATTTTATAATATGAAAACTATAAAAGATACATAAAATTATAACTAGTCAATGTGATGAAAAATTGCAAAATAAAGCTGACTGTTTATCAACTTTGATAATGTCTTTCATTTTCAAGGAATAAAGCTAGGATCAAACTTTAAGAAATAAAATTTACAACACTCTATGACACAGACAGACCCAAGAATTTATCAGAGATAATACTAGTATAAATCCCCTCATATCAAACAAAATCAAAGCTTGCCATTTTAGTAATATTTAATCTACGTCCATAATATTCAATGATCCAGATATCAATTTCTTAGCTACAGGGAATCTTTCCGTTGTCAAGCACACCTTTGTCTCCTTGATTTGGGTCTGTTTGATTAGACAGATAACAACATCTCCTCTTTATTGAATTTTACAATATACTCTTGAGGTGGGCTGTGGAAACATTGGCTGTATATCATTAAATGGAAAAGAATCAAGTTAAATCAACTAGGCAGGTGTGAAAACTATCTAATTTACTTCGGATAGCAATGTAATCATTTCGATATAAAACACCTTCGTCAAAAGAATTACGATTCTGATAGTGGTCAATTTGACAGCTTCTTTTGAATGGTTTAAAGTTTAAAGAGCTACTAGATGAGCGCATCAAATAAAACTGGATTGTCAGGGAATAAGTAGAATAAAACGAAACTGTGAGAATCCATTGTAAATATTAGTCCAAATTTAATAAAGAACTTTATTAAGATAAGAAATTCGTAATTTAAAGATTAAAAATTCAATATGAATATAAATTAATGCCAAATTTTGTTTACTTTGATCCAGATATGAAACATCGAGAT